GGGTCATATAAAAGGAGCTGCAGAGCAAAGCATTAGTCAGTTGCTGCTTGGAGCAGGAGAAGAAAGGACTGCAGGCCTAGCTGCCTGGAAGAGCAGCAGGGCCACGGACGGTTTGCTAGCAGGGACCGGGGGAGCATTGAGGGAGCTCCTGGCTGGTTGCTAGAACTGAGCAGGGACTGAGCCTGAGGAGGGCTGCAGGAAGATGCCCAGGGAGGGCATACCAAGGCTGGACTACGTGAAGACCAAAGCTCAGGGAGGGCTAGAGAGAGACAGCACCAAAACCCAGGAAGGGCTAGAGAGTGCTACTGAGATATACCCCAGTGGACCGTATACCCCGAAAGGGGTTTGTGCTTGTTAAAATGCAGAGAGTGACTTGGCTGGAGCAGTATCACTGACAAACGTGCCAGAGAACCACCAAAAGGGGTCACCAGAACTAAAGAATGCAGACACGCCCAACCAGAAGGGGGCACTCGCCAGAGGTGGACGCCAATGCTGTTACACAGGGGTTGGCACATTCGTTAGTGAAGCTGTGTGTGAGAGAGAAGTTCAAGCAACAGAAAAAGATAGAAGGAGCAAAAAAGCCCCAGATAAGGTCAGAAAAGTCATGGTAGTGTGTCCTTTTGAAAAAAGCTAAGGGAGAGCTTTTGGTCAAAGTGCTAACTGAAGGGGGCTTGGAACTGTAAAAAAAGAAGTTACCCCCTGTTTGATTCCTACTGTGTTTGGGAAAGAGGAGTATGTACATTCTTTGTAAACAAACAGGATTGCATCAAATACCTGACTCCAATTTCTTTTCCTAGCAGAAACAATCTGCTAGACCCCAAAAATTGGGGTAACAATTTAAGATCTCAAAGGTTCCAGAGACAGAAAGAAAAAATTAAACTGTGGGGAAGCTAATACCATCACATTACGTATATTAGAGTGTGGGATCAGGAGTTGTTAAAATTTTCATTTCAAACTCTGACAGCATCACAAGGGAGTTATTCATGGACACTGATAGCGCTGGAGAGCTGTGAAGGTGGTCCCTGGCAGGGAAAAACCTTTAAATCCCACCCCCCAAAAAACAAACAAAAAAGCAGCCTCTCCAATTGCTTTGCTATTACACTGAGCTTTTGCTCAAATGCACAGTAACTAAAAAGTGATGCATTCTATTACAAAGAAAGCAGAAGACCATAATTTTGGTGCTTTGTGAAATTTAGGTGTGTGCTGAAAGCAATAGTAGCCGTCTTGAAAATTTCAGTGATGTACTTTCGCTGTCACATTTCTGAATGGTCCTGTTTCACTTTTCATGGCCAGTAGTGAATTTAAAATACTGATACACACAGAATGATGGACCTTAATCTTCACTAATCTCATCAGTCTGAAGGCTCTTTTGGGTCCACTGGTAAAAGAAGGTGGTTACATTAGCGTCAGCATAATTCTGTTTAGGGCTCTATGTATCACTGTAGGTTTTAAAAAAAAAGAGTTGTAGACAAAAAAAATTCATCGGTGACTGTCATATTTGCTTGGATTGACAGACTTTGAATCATGTAGCAATACATCTTTTATCATGGTTCTTGACAGCAGCAGTTTGCATGCTGAGTTTAACTAAGCTGATATACACATTCTTCAGGAATATATTGTTAAGCAGAAATTTCACAGACATTTTCAGAACTGCCCAGAACCACAGTATTTGGGTTTTGGGAAGAAATCCCCTCGGACTCATGAAAATATCACTCTAATGCTGCTCCAAATACTCTCCACTGACAGATAAATGTCTCCTTTTTCTCCTGTAGGAGCCCTTCCTTTCGGGGAGCAGTTTACACTGGTATTCCGCATGCTGCGGTGACATCCAATTCATTTCTAGGAGCAATTTAGATTGTTAGTTTTAATCTATAAAGACCATTACACTTTGAGTCCTGGATATGTTGTCCTGTGGCACTTACGATCAGGCAACACACTGACAACCCTTAGATTTGTACATGTGGTGGCAAGTGGTGGGTCATTCCCAGTGGAGTGTCCGTGACTCCGGAATGTGTTTCCCTCCTTGGTCTGAGATAGTAAGAATATGGTGACCCGCAAAGCCTACAACAAGGCCTATCGGGCTTTCACGAGGAATGGGAATGGGTCATGTCTTAGCCTTTGTGTCAGGTTCAATTTATTTTAGAAACTGTGTTTATATCACAAATTGTATCACAAATGCCAAGGCATTTTTGACAGATACAATATATAAATAGCAAAAACTACATAAATAAACCTGAACCAGCATGTTCCGTATTTAGCAAGCTGCCAGGATTTTCATGTAGAGATGTGTCTGACAGGTATTAAAATACCAAGTTTCACAGCATGTTGTGTTTACTGAAGGAAACCCTGACTGGAACAACAGGGAGAATAGTTACACTCTCCAGTGCAGAGTCTGCTAATTGACGTCGGCCCCACACACTAGGGCAGGATTCATTATGGTGTGCTGAGCTGGAGATGGGTGACAAGCCACAGAGCATTACGTGATGCTCCTCTAAGCAGCAGCAAGTTGCACTTTCAACCCGCTGTTGGCAGCACTTGCTGGAGAATGCAGCATATGTACTGGCCAGGGTTTTTTGGGGGGCCAGGGGACGACAACCCTAAACAGCCTATTTAACCTGCAGATTTCGTCTCCATTGGGATATGGTACACCAGACAGTACAATTCGCCAGCTGTTTTCTACCATTTGTCACTGAGCTATGGGGAGATCCTTACCTGCTGCGTGTGTAGGATAAAAAGTTGCACTTACATCTTTTACACACCAGCACAGCAGAGGGTAGAACTGAGCCCACAGGTTAGCAAATGCACTGAGGCTTACTAATTTGCAATTTAATTAGTTTAAATGGTCTAACTGAAGAGTCATTTGTTTGTGACAGTCTTACAAGGTTGAAACCAGAGGCCCCAAATGCACAGTAAAAAGTAAATAAAAAGCATGTCCTAATATATTTAGCAAATGCTAACACAAAGCAAAGAAAAATATATAGGGGATGGGAACAATGGATTCCCTGCCTTGGCAACTGTTGAATATCTAGAGCTAGAGAAGACAGAGTTTTAGAGATGAGGCTCCCCATCTTCCTCCTTACAAATAAATTACTGTGCCCAACACTGAAATCGTGGCCTGCCTTGCATAAACACAAGTGTGAGTTGAACTGAAATTGTGCTCAACACATACTGCAAAAGCAGAAAGCTCTATCTTTGTGAGCTATCTGAAAAGTGAAAACAGATTAGAGAAATAAGTTCCTCAATAGGCAGTAACATTGCTTTCACACCAGATTTGATTAATAAGTCCTCCCAGCAGCACTAACACCTGATATGCACATTGCGTGGATTATCAAATTTTAGGCCAGGCAGAAGAAAAAATATTCTTTCCTCCCAGTTACTGCTACAGGTATATTATCGAATGAAAACACAACAAGATTTCTCTAAGGAATATGAAATCTGTTTGGTATTTCCATCAAACAATTATACGTTGTTCATCTAGTATCTGAGAAGCACTGAGGCATATCCAGACCTGATTACATTCCTTCTTAGCTCCAGAACAAGCTATCCCAGTAGGGTGGTGAGCAGCTTCTCATCTCTCCCTTTGATACTTTGATGCAGGTGCACACAAAAGAGAGGTTTGTGATAACAATGCAGCCACATTTGCTTAGTATCTTGATGATCCTAAATCAAAAGGCCCTTGATCATTACTGGAGCCTTTCAGAATATTTCAAAGTAAGGGGTAAATTTTTCAAAGCGATGTAACAGGGATTTAGCTGCATGACTTCCATTAACACCAGTGGGAGGTGAACAGCTAAATCCCCACTCACTGCTTCGAAAATGTACCCCTTTAAATATCTTATTTCCAAAATGCATTAGACTTTTCAATAACTAAACAGTTGACAAGAAAAACAGTATTATTTCCATTGCCAGTATTTGACAGATAACTGGTTCCAGAGACAAGTTGGTCTGTGGAAAACATTAAAGCTCCCAAACATCTTTATAGGATAGGAAGGCTGAGTATTCTGGGGGGTGCAGCTTCCTGAACCAGAACATTCTAACTCTTATGCTAGTGTCTTATGCTATCCTAACCCCCTGCAGCCAGCGGAGAACACAGCTAAGGGAAAGAAGATGTGCATCCTGGCAATCCCTGGCTGCTCTAACAGCCCCTGGGAGTTGTTGGCAACAGGTGCAAGTTATAACACTTATACCAACAAATCAGCACAGCCCAGAGAAGCCTCAGGATCAGGGGACCACAAAGGTGGCTTGATTGAAGCCAAGGATCAGGGCCAATAAGTATGAAGAGGGTGTGAAATGGTACCAAATCAGAATGGTAATGGTTTGCACCCACTCTGCACCCACTTTTGTAAATAATTACACAAGGTGCAAGGCACTGGCAAATGTAATCCGGAATGTCTAAGGAAAACGTGCACGTTCCCCAAATAAGCACATCATGTATTCAGTAACATTCCTGAAAAACATGGAGATTTAAGTGCCTAGGGGAAATCAAAATCTGCATTGCTTTTAGGACTAAACTACATATTCTTTTCCCTGTTGATTTTTATCATTAATAATGTAATCTTACAACTAAACATCAAAAGATGTAAACACGTTGTCAGAACAGATTTCTGAGAGCCATTCTTCCCATTATATATTTGAAAATAGGATTTTTCAATTCAGCATGGAATGTCATTATATTATATCTCAGAGACAGATCAGAGTATGTGGAATTCCCATTCTAATATCCTTTATTAAACATATATTTCTTATTTAATTAAAAGACTTTGGAAGATTAGGTTTGATTAATTTGGTCAAATGGTGGATACTAATTAGAACAACCAAGGTTGGGAAGCCCATTAGAAAATGATAATTCTCTGCAGTGAAAACAACAAACATGAAATGAACATTAAGTCAGTTATCTCCTTTAAAGGTGAAAGGAAATATTCCCAAAGATTCAGTCTGTTTAGCTATGGGTGTTACACTCCTATTATCCAAAAAGAGCAAGTATCTTAAAAAATACTTACTACAATATCTTCAGGGAAAGTGTCCCGACTGAAGGAGCCATCATCAAACATGACTTCATAGAAGACTTGAGATGTCACTCCTATCACTCTGCAACTATAATATCGTGTGTTCCTGTGTTTTGTGATGACAGTCTGCCCCACTGTGATGGCCTTCTCACATGCTTTAGTTCTCTTGAAAGCAAGAATTTAAGAAACAGTCATTAAAAACAGTCACCACTTAGTTTATCAGAACCATGTCACATGATAAAGTACTGCAGTGATCAATCATGGCTCTCAATTTAGCAAGAAATCTTGAAATGCAAAATCTTTCCTTACTACAACAATCAAACTTTCTGTGAAGCATACACATTTACATTTTATTAGCAAAAGAATTACAGCCACACAAGATTGCAGCACATAATTAAAAATATATCTACTATTATGGTGTTTTGGCTCATCTTACAACACAGGAGAACAATTTAAGCAAAACAATTCTGGGACCATTCAGAAATGTTGTTTGCCACTATCTTAAATCCCTTATATCCAGCTCTAGTAGAGATCAGACATGGTGGACCAAGCTTATACTGTAGAATTTTATTGAAAAGCACTTCTCAAGTTTTGGATTTTCATAATGATATTACTTCATATTTTGCTCACTGGGATGACATCAATAGATACACATCTCGTTTTTGTAAAAGTGGTCAACAGTGATACAACAGGATGCTTCACTAACTCAGAAACAATGCAGAACACTCACTTTAAAACTGCAGATGGTATTGTGCAGTTATAATGATTGTTTATTTTATCACTCACCTTTATGATGTAGCAGGTCAGTCATAACCACTGTTTATTTTCATGTTTCCTCTCTAACTTCCCTAAAATCAGCTATCACCTTCAGAAGAGTAGCCAAGATATACTCTAAGGTCAAATTATGCAAAGATTCTACCTCAACAACTATAGGTGTTATACTCCTATTATCAAAAAAACAAAACAAAACAAAACCCCCAAATCAAACCCCATAACTCAGCAAACACTCAGAGATGTACATGATGCAGAAAATTGTGCACACCACTTCCCAACTAATGCATCCCAGTGTGCTTCCCACTTGCACAGTGAGCTTCACCATCTGGAGAAGTAAAATCAAGAGTTTCTCATCCTAATAAGACATCTTATGGCTGTTTATTAGCTGTAAATCATTTCATATTGGTTGCTGTGTTTGTGTGGTAAACTGTACTGTCTCTGGCAACAGCTGGGCATCTGAACTTTTCTGACAACAGGAGATGCTAAAAACCACAGCACGAATTCAAATAGCATATCTGTATTAGTGAAAATGTTTTGAATTAGAAATATTTACTAACCAGCTTGAAATACTGTATGACATATGCTAAATTAATTACCCAATTTCCTACCACTTTTTCAACTGTCTGTAACCTTTCAAGCAGCAAAGTTCTTCAATAAATGTAATAATCTAAAAAAAAAAAAGTATCTGTGAAAGTCTGCAAAATGAGGTGACTATAGAATTGTCAGTGTGATTATTAGAAGCTGAGTTATCATCGGTGCCCATGCTCTTTGTTAGATTTTTACATTTTATCTTAAAGTAATTCCTGCAACTTTTTTAAAACAAACTTGGGCCAAATTTTGAAATACTTCTTTTGCTTTGTAATTTTTGGCACACTACCACTTTCTTGCATCACATTACAGAATTTACACATCTCAAACTTTTGTGTTTCTAAAAACTGAGGGCAAAGCAAGTACAAATGTGTTGTGTGCATTTGAAGTCTATCACCAAAAAATGACAGACTTCAGATGCACACAACACATTTTCTGGGGCTAGTGCACTAAGCTTGTGTTTGCAAGTGATTTCTCTGAGTAAAATTGTGTTCATGAAAACAGAGGATTGGACTGAGGCCTACTATGAAGTTATACACAATTATATGTCTACAGCATTTTCAAGATCACCTGGAAATAATCTTTCTTTCATAATTATACATATTATTTAATGGCGGTTTACCTGTTCTGTATATAACAATATCACTAAGCCTAAACACAAAATGGTGAAATGAGCCAAGAACTAGTTTACCACTATAAGTTATTATCACATAGGTCCCTCTACTGGTAACATCAGTTACCGCTGTTACACCAAATCTTGAATAATATGTAAAAATCCAGGTGTTTGTTTCTTGAAAAATTCCAGACTCCATTTATCCAAATATGTTCAGAAACAGAAATTGAAAATAGTCATTGAATTACCCATGTGAGTGGAGCAGAAGTTTCTGGTGGATATATAAATCCAACAGGAAGTAAATGTATTAAAAGTACAAAATGTATTACAAGTATAAAGATTGAGCTTCACAAAACAAAAACACGATTTTTTTGTTAAGAATATACTGATTGGTTTACTGGTAAAATTTTCACAAAATAAACTCCACAACTCAATCCCCCTACCTCCAGGCAGAAAACCAAATAAATGAACAAAACCCTAAAAAACCTCAAACCATAGAAAACCCTACTGCATCCCAGCTCAAGGGGACGGAGTTTGGCTTTCAGTATGTTACTTTGGTAGGATTCTTGATTTATTTTGCAGAAGAACATATTGACAAGCACACTGTAATAACTGATTGCCTGTCCCAGAAAACATTTCCTGTCAGAAAAGCCTAAGAACTTATTGATGTTAAGAATGTCATTTTTGAGCAGAAAGGACAGTTGTTATGCAAGGGGGTCTATCAAATTAAAGAACCAGATGTGGTATCTTTCAGATTATGGTGCAAATTGTGGTTCAGAAAGTGTGATTTTTCCTCAACATAACCCAAGCCAAGGGTGAACTAAGATAGCAGTAGAAACAGAGAAAATCAAACAGAAAAACAAACAAAAAAAGCCATCTTGGCCTTCCATATGTGAACCTGAAAAAATGGGATACATTATGGTAGAAGTCCTTGCTCTTTATTTGTGTGACTGATGTATTGCTAGCAAACCAGATGCCATTTTATGCCAAGGTGCCCATGCCTCACTTGGATACTGAAAACACATAGCTGGAATTAGTCTGGTTCACCTGTGTGTTAGTACTGGTAAAATAATTAGAGTTATAAAAATGTGCTTAGTGTTTATGCTTTATTGAACACTTGTAAATTGCTACTTGGATTAATCTCACTTTCACATCTGTATCTCATATTGCAAAGTATTATTTGAGCACTTGCACTAAAATTCTCTGTAACTGTGTAAATCACCAGACAGGAGAGAAGCATTAGCTAATGTGAAATACTAGTCTCCAACAGGTGTTATGTCCTGCCCGACATAAAAAGCACATAAACACAAGATGAAGTATTGTGGAACATCAGAGGACAAAAGACTTTGTTGATTGCTTTCTCCCCCACCATGAAGAGGAGATTTGCAAGTGAGTTCCTTTCATCAGCTGAGTTTGCAACTCAAAGCAGAAGTGGGGAAGGAATAAAAAGTCCTAACAAGGAGGAACTGTATCTTTCTGCTGCTTGGACTCTAAGGAGCAAGGATTACTAAGCATAAGCAAAAGATCCTCAGTGCTTAGCCTGGATTAGTCCTGAAGGACATATTGAGCTTGCTTATCACAGAAGTTTCTGTTACTTTTCGAAATTTAAGATTGAAACTCATTTGGGTGTAGTGTTGTCTTTCCTGTGAAATCTAACATGCAATTGACCTGGGGTAAGTGACTGGTCCTTCTGACTGAGAGTAATCTGAATATTGCTGTGATCTTCAGTGTAAGGTGGGTTTACCTGGGAGGCAAGACAGATCAGAGTACCCAAGGGGACTGTCTGTAATTTCATGTTAAGGCTGTTACAGTTTCTGATGAGTTTACACTTGATAATTGATAGGTGGAATCTAAGTATAGAACTCACAACAATTTGGGGTTTGTGTCCTGTTTCCTAAGAGTTTGCCCTGAGGTTGGCACCCACCGCCTTCAGTCACTGCAGGACAGCTTGACAAGTAGACAAAAAACCCTTGGTCTAAAAAGTTCCAGATCATATTTATAGTCAAGGATCATCAAAGCTCTAAGATGTATTCGGTTTGATATGGAAATCTAAGTTTTATTCCACCCTGCCAATTTTACCCCTAGAACTATAGTCCTAATGTGAAAGTGATATTTGAACAGTATGCCTGCTCAGGATTTTTTCCCTTTGGTCTCTGTGCCTCCCCCAAGGTATGCCCCTCGGCCAGGGGGCCAGGCACAGACAGCACAGAGTTGGCTACATTGGCTTTTTTCTACAAAAAGAAAATCCCCCGCAATCCTGTTACAAGAGCTCTCCATTACATTTGTGCTGCAGGAGCATCACAAGAGACACAGAACAGAGGATCAGTTATGGTGGAGCTGTTGCTAAGTTTGTATTCTGTTTTGTACTTTAAGTGGCAGTTCAACTTGCTCATTTTATAGGAAAAATACAGTGTACGTGCTGTAAATTTTAGCACAATGTCTGAGCAAAACCTGAATTTTCTGGGGAGTTTAAAACTAATTAACTGATTTTTTTCAAAGTTCTAATCAATTAAAAATTGCATCCCTCACCTAAAAAAATCTCAGTTTGTATCTCCTGATTTTTGGGGTTCCCCTAGCTGAAACCCTAGGAGATAAGGAGAGTTTGGGTGAGTTATGTATTTATTTTGTTAATTAACAAAAATAATAAAAAATATCATAGTTCTTTGTCATAAACGAATCCTTAAGTGCGGCACTTAGCTAATGGAGAACAAAAGTTTGGATAACTAAGATCTTCTAGAAGCAGTAGCTGCTGGTTTGTCAAAAACCAAGAGCTCTTTGAGACTGTTTTATGAAGAACAGTATCTTCAGCATAGGAACAGCTACTGTTCTGAGGATCCTATTCTGGATCCTTCTCTTCATGGCACTGTCCAGCCAGCTCAGGAGCTCCTGGTTTTCATGACAGTAACAGATGCTAATGTTGAAGATCCTGTTTTTCATGAAGATGGTCAGCCAGTGCAGGATCAAGTGTGAATTTGCAGAACAGATAGCAGAAAAAGTCTGGTCTGTTTGCAGTGGTGGGGAATTTGGGTGAAGAGGTGCTAGAAGACTGACATCTACAACCAGTAGGAAAATGTTTTTTCCCAACAACATTTTTGACAAAAACAAAAAATTATTTTTCCAAAGTTTTTCCACACCGTTTTTTAAAAGTTTTGCATTCAAACATTGAAAAACAAAATGTTATGGGTTTTGG